CAAATTCTAGGTTTTTCTACCAAATCCCCAAGTTTCAACTGATTTCCATACTTAAATCCGTATATAAATCGTGTATTTAGCTCACAATAGGTGGGAATCACTTACCTTGACATTGATGACGAAGAAATAGGTCCAAACTAACTCCAAGACCGGCTCTCAGGGAGAAAATAAGGTGAAAATGAGCCAAACCCTTGTTTTTAAAAGAACACACTGCCCAGCCCGATTTTCGCACCTGCGGTCACTTGACTGCTTCTACGGTTCCGCAGGTGCGGCCACACTACCGCTTATGCGGTCTTTCACCAGGCCCCTCAACTCCGCATTTGCGGCTCCACGCACGCAGGTGGTCTTCACGCAGGTGCAGTTACACCGGAAGCCCAGCTGCTTCAGCCCTTCCTCAAATTCTATTTTTAATCCGTTAACCACCCGGAATCCACCCGAGGCCCCTGGGACCCCGTCCAATCATACCAACCAGTCCCATAACATAACCCGGACCTGCTTGAGGCCTCCAATCACATAAAACAACATCGAAATCACGAATCACAATCCAATTCAAGCTTAATGAACTTTAGAACTTCAAACTTCAACAGTCGATGCCAAAACCTATCAAATCACGTCTGATTGACCTCAAATTTTTCACACAAGTCATATTCGACATTACGGACCTACTCCAACTTCCAGAATCGGAATCCGACCACGATATCAAAAAGTCCACTTCCGGTTAAACTTCTCAAAAACCTTCAAATTTCTACTTTCGCCAAATGACTCCAAAATGATCTACAGACCTCCAAATCCACTTCCGATCGCGCTCCCAATACTAGAATCACCATACGGAGCTATTCCCAGACTTGGAATCCCAAACGGATATCGATGACACTTAAATTCACTTCAACCCAAATTCATAAAATTCTTCCAAAATGCTAACTTCCACAATAGGCGCCGAAACGCCCCCGGGCCATCCAAAACCTGATCTGAACATACGCCCAAGTCAAAATCATCATGTCAACCTGTTGGAACCTTCAAATTCCAATTCCGAGGTCGTTTATCCATACATCAAACCTTAGTCAATTCTTTTAACTTAAAGCTTCTGAAGTGAGAATTTTCTTTCCAAATCAACTCCAAACTTCCCGTAATTCAATTCCAACCACGTATATAGGTCATAATACTTGATGTGAAGCTGCTCATGGCCTCAAATTGCTGAACGACGTGCTAGATCTCAAAATGACCAGTCGGGTCGTTACACTCGCGACCATGAAGGCGTTCCATTGCCGAGAAAAGTCTCCTTCACAAACACAACAGGGCCATCACGAACGCGATGCCCAATGTGGCTTCCCTTCGCGAATGCGAAGGCTAAGGCCTGCCTCCTCTCCCAGATAGCCTCCCACCATGCAAACGCTAACCCGCGATCACGAACGCAAAGGCCAGTGGCCCTAAAGCGTCGTGATTGTGACTCCTACTCTGCGAACGCGTAGAACAAAAACCTCCCTGCCCAAATCCTTCATTGCGAATGCGAGACTTCATCCGCATTTGCAAAGAAGGAAACCAGTAGCAGAATTTCTACAATTTTGGACTTAACTTAGGGTGGTCTGAAACACACCTGAGCCACCCGAGACCCCTTCCAAATGCACTAACAGTTTCATAAACATAATCCAGACCTGCTCAAAGTCTCGAAACACATAAAACAATATCTAAATCAATAATCACACCCTAAAACCAAATTAATCAACTTATGAACTTCAAACTTCTTCAACTAGCTCCTAATGCGACGAATCATGCCTAGACAACTCGGAATGATGCCAAATTTTACGCACAAGTCACAAATCACAATATGAACCTATTCCTAGGCTCGAAAACCCAACCTAACATCGATTGCACCAAATTCTACTTCAAACAAAATTTAGGAAATTAGAAACACTTCAACGCACCAACTTTCAACAATACACGCTGAAATGCTCCCGGTTCATCCGAATCTCGATCCGCACACACGCATAAGTCCAAAATCATTATACGAACCTATTGGAACCTTTAAATCTTGGTTCCGAGGTCATTTACTCCTAATGTTGACTCTAGTCAAACTTGGCCACCATAAGCCACTATTAAGGAACTAAGTGTTCCGAATTCAACCCGAACCCTTCCAAAACCAAATCAACCATCCCCGCAAGTCATAAAATAGTAAACTTACATACAGACAATCTTAAATAGGGGAATAGGGATCTAAAGAGCAAAATGACCGCTCGGGTCGTTACAATTTAGTGGTAATAAGAAATCAGAAAGAAGGTTATCAAGATGAGGGGATGAGCCCTTATTGTTTATATTTAAGATAGAGTGTTCTGCAGTTAAGAAATCCGATGTCTAGAAGATAAAAGTGATATAAATGAGAAAGTCTTGATGGACGGACATACTAAGAGAGATAAGATCAGGAATGAAGTCATTCGAAATGAGGTGGGAGTGGCTTTCGTGGAGGACAAGATGCGGAAAGTGAGGTTAAGATGGTTGGGGTATGTGAAGAGAAGGGATACAACGACCCCAGTAAGGAGATGTGGGAGGTTAGACATGGAAGGTAGGAATAGAGGGAGAGGTAGACCGAAGAGGTATTGAGAGGAGGTGATTAGGCAGGACATGAAGTAGCTTCAACTTACCGAGGACATGACCCTTGATAGGAGGGTGTGAAGGTCAAAGATTTGCGTAGAAGGGTAGTAGGTAGTGGAGCGTATTTCTTTCCCATACCAGTAGTATTTACGTTGCTCTTGTATTTTCTTATGCTTAGTTTTCTTGTACTACCTAGTGTTTCGATTTCACATTCGTATTCATGCTTTTGTTTCTTTCACTTCAGTTGTCTATTATCGTGTTGTTGTTTACTGCTTGCTGTTATTGCTATTGCTTCTTGATCATTTTTCTTGATCTGAGGCTCTATCGAAAACAATCTCTCTACCCTCACAAGGTAGGGATGTGGTCTGTATACTCTCTATCCTCTCCAAATCCAATTTATGAGATTACGCTGGATATGTTGTTATTTTGTTGTCAAATATCAGAATGATCTAGTCTATTTCTTATGCTTGGATTCCATCAAATTATGGGACAAGATTAGGTTAATAATTTAATAAGTGTCCTTACAATATTTAGCAATAATTGTAGGGTTAATTTTGTAAGGGAAATAGGATGAGATGGATGTATTAGAAGGAAATACAGACACTACAATTTCATCAATGAAGTATAGTAATTCATCCTTGTTTGGTACACTATATAAGAGATAAAATGTCTTATATTTTAAATAGTTTCATACAAAAGGTAGTCTTAAAATTGAAAGTATGAAAACAAAGTAACGCATAATATAACTCGAACGATAAAGATAATGTGCAAAGTAAAATACATAATTACATATAGCGCATGTGGTCTATGCACTATATGTGTCTAGGCTAACAACTCAGCTTAATGGGTGTTAACCTTGTGCATTGACATATAGCGGATATATATATTCCAGTTTTAAATCCATTTCTCTATCCGACAAAATAGTCCTCTCCCCAAATAAAAAAAATAAAAAAAGTATTTTCTGCCATTAAAGACCCGCATAAGATCCCACAATGCAATTTAGTCCCTTTTTTTACAGGAAAATTAAAGGTATATTCGAGGCACGGAAAAAGAATCTTGCATAATTTTTTCCAGAATTGAGAAAAAAGTTTCAAATTTTTAGGTATTTTCTTAATTTTTTGCTTACAATAACTTGATATTTTGTGGCTATATTAATATTAAACCATGTAATCTCTTATTTTCCTTTTTTACCTTAATTTTTAATTAATTTGTAATTTCCAATTTTTCCCTATTTTTTTATAGTTTCTATAAAAAATTGTGCTTTTTAATTAATTGTCTATTTTTCTGCATTTTCTGTAATTCTAAATTTCTAGCATTTCTGGATTTACTTGATGTTTTTTAATTTCTTGAAATTTTTTTAATATAGAATTTTCTTAATTTCTAGAATTATTTTGTAATTTTTGTTTTTCTTTAATCAATATTTTGATTAAATTATTTAATTAGATTTAATGTATAATTATTAAAGTTAACTTGCAAATAATTTTATTGTGATATAGTTTCAGCTCTCCCAGACATAAATAAATAAATTACTTGAAAGATTCAGGGCTTCTTTCTCTGTCCTACACGCCCGTCTCTGTCTAAATACAAACGGTCTAATTCTAACGGTAAGCTCTGCCGGTGAACTTCACCAGCACCGGCACCGGCGTGGACGGGTAAGCCAGGTAAGCACACCCCCTCTCTCTCTCCCCCTCTCTCTCTCTATCTCTCTATCTCCCCTTCTGCCTTTCTCTTTTTCTTCCCCCCTCTCTTTCTGCCCCCTTCTTAACCCTAGCACGGACTAGGCCGGCGATCGACGCTCCACCGTCGCCGCTCCCTTTTTTCGGCTTCAACCCCAACCCCCTTCTCTGTGCTTCTCCTTCTCCTTTATACTTTTTTCGTCACCCTTCTTCTTTTCCCGGCGTCGCTTCACTGTTACAGTGTTCGTCATTATTTTCTGGTGAGTCGGGCCAGTAGCAGATCTGTGTGTCACTGGTGGTGACGGTGACAGTCCCGCACTTGTCCCTTTTTCTCGGTTCCGTTTTGTGTTTGTGTGTTTTCCAGGTTGCACTTTGTTGGTGGTTGTTTCGGGTTGAGTGGGAGGTGTACGAGCAAACATAGCAGAGCAGGTAGGCTGGTTGGTAGTCCCAAGGGCTGGACGTCGGGTCCCACAACACCGGGAGTATAGCAAGTCAAAAGTTTAGGTTCTATCTGAGGGAATTGATACCTCCCGTCACCTATTTGTTTTAGTTAATTTGTTGCTGTAGTAGTTTTGGATATTTGTCTCCTTCTAGTTTATACCTTTGCTTGTTTGTAGTTGCATTTTTGTCTAGACCACCGTAGGAATAGCGGTTGTGGTTTGTAATGGCAGAGTAGGGTCATTTCCTCGGGGTGGGCGGGTGGTGGGGCGGGGGTTAGGACACGGGTCATGGGGTGGGATGGGGCCCAGAGGGGGTAAAGGCAACAAGGGAGCCTGTAGGTTGATGATTGGATCGTGGAATATAGGGACGTTAACAGGTAAGTCTATAGAGCTAGCGAAGATTCTCCAGAAGAGGAAGGTCAATATAGCTTGTGTTCAGGAGACCAGGTGGGTAGGATCGAAGGCGAGGAATGCAGACGGGTTAAAATTGTGGTACTCTGGACGCGTGAAGGGCAAGAACGGAGTGGGTATTTTGGTGGACACGGAGCTCAGGGAGTCAGTGGTTGAGGTTAGGCGGGTGAATGACAGATTGATGGCGATTAAGTTAGTAGTTGGAGGGAGCACTCTGAATGTCGTTAGCACGTACGCACCGCAAGCGGGCTTGGACGAGGAGGTTAAGAGGCACTTCTGGGAGGGGTTGGATAAGGTGGTGCGGGGTATTCCGTCAACAGAGAAGTTATTTATAGGAGGGGATTTAAATGGTCATATTGGGTTTCGCTAGGGCTTTTGAGTTGGTGATTGCGAACTCTAGTTTTTCGAAGAGGGAGGAGCATTTGGTTACTTTCCGGAGTATGGTGGCTAAGACCCAGATTGATTATATCCTCCTCAGGAGGTGTGATAGGGGGTTATGCGAGGATTGTAAGGTGATCTCGAGTGAGACCCTCGCGACTCTACATAGGCTCCTGGTGATGGACATTGGTATCGTGATAAAGAGGAAGAAGAGGTTTGTACAAGGTCAACCGAGGATCAGGTGGGGTGTTTTGGCTAAGGATACTGCGCATGAGTTGGAGGGGCGGTTGTTGGCTATGGGTGCCTGGAAGAGTAGTGGGGATGCTAGCGCTAAGTGGACGACGACGGCGAACTGTATTAGGGAGGCGGCAAGAGACGTGTTAGGGGTCTCGAAGGGCTACTATAGCGGGCACCGAGGCGACTGGTGGTGAAATGATGTGGTCTAAGGTATAGTGGAAGCAAAGAAAACGGCGTACCTTGCGTTAGTGGAGAGTACCGATGAGGAGCAGAGGAGAACAAATAGAGTAAGGTACAAGGAAGTTAGGAAGGAGGCAAAATTAGCGGTCATAGAGGCTAAGATTGCTGCGTTTGATCGGTTGTATGAGGAACTAGGGGGCAAAGGTGGGGACAAGAAGCTATTTCGGCTGGCCAAAGTGAGAGAGAGGAAGGCTCGCGACCTGGATCAAGTGAGGTAAATCAAAGACGTGGAAGGTAAAGTAGTGACGGAAGACTCCCAGATTAAGCATAGATGGTAGACGTACTTTCATAAACTTCTGAATGAAGAGGGGAGCGGTAGCATCGTGCTAGGGGAGTTAGGACACTCCAAGAGTCACCGTGACTTTGGGTACTGTAGGCGTATCAAGGTTGAGGAGGTAGTGGGAGTTGTGGGTAAGATGAATCGGGGCAAAGCGACAGGACCAGTTGAGATTCCAGTAGAATTTTGGAGGTATATGGGTAGAGCGGTCTTAGAATGGCTGACTGGGCTGTTTAATGTTATTTTTGAGATGAAGAGGATGCCAGATGAGTGGAGATGTAGTTTGATGATTCCGTTGTTTAAGAACAAAGGTGATATCTAGAATTGTAACAATTATAGGGGCATCAAGTTATTAAGTCATACCATGAAAGTTTGGGAGAGGGTGGTGGAAGGGAGGGTGAGGAGGGCGGTATCTATTTCGGAAAATCAGTTCGGGTTCATGCCGGGACATTCTACTACGGAAGCTATCCACCTTATAAGGAGGTTGGTGGAACAACACAGGGAGAGTAAGAGGGATTTTCACATGGTGTTTATTGACCTAGAAAAGCCGTATGACAAGGTCCCTAGGGACGTTCTTTGGCGATGCCTGGAAGTAAAAGGGGTGCTGGTAGCATACATTGAATCGATAAACAATATGTATGATGGAGCTAAGACTCAGGTCAGGACTGTGGGAGGTGACTTCGAGCTTTTTCCGGTGATTATGGGGTTACACAAAGGATCTGCGCTTAGCCCTTTCTTATTTGCTCTAACGATGGATGCCTTGACACACCATATTCAAGGGGAGGTGCCATTGTGTATGTTGTTCGTTGATGATATAGTTCTAATCGATGAGTCGCGTAGCGGTGTTAATGAGAGACGGAGGTGTGGAGGCAGGCTCTGGAGTACAAAGGTTTCAAGTTGAGTAGGACCAAGACAGAATATCTGAAGTGTAAGTTCAACGTCGTGTCGGGGGAAGCGGACGGGGTGGTGAGGCTCGACTCACAAGTTATCCCCAAGAGAGAAAGTTTCAAGTATCTAGGGTCTATTATCAAGGGAGATGGGGAGATTGACGGGGATGTCACGCACCGCATTGGGGTGGGGTGGATGAAATGGCGGTTAGCATCTGGAGTCCTGTGTGACAAGAGGGTACCACCGAAACTCAAAGGTAAGTTCTACAGAGCGGTGGTTAGGCCGGCTATGTTATATGGGGCTGAGTGTTGACCAGTTAAGTATTCACATATCCAGAAGATGAAAGTAGCCGAGATGAGGATGTTGAGATGGATGTGCGGGCATACTAAACTGGATGAGATAAGGAATGAAGATATTAGGGAGAAGGTGGCGTTGCTCCCGTGGACGACAAGATGCGGGAAGCGAGCTTAGGTGGTTTGGGCACATGCGGGGAGAACCATCGATTCCCCGGTTAGGTGGTGCGAGCGGTTAGCTTTGGCAGGTACGAGAAGAGGTAGAGGGCGGCCTAGGAAGAATTGGGGCGAGGTGATCAGGCAAGACATGGCGCGACTCCAGATTTTCGAGGACATGGCTCTTAATAGGAAAGTGTGGAGGTCGAGCATTAAGGTTGTAGGCTAGGGGTAGTTCATAGTTTTTCCCTCTTTGTACCGGGTAGGCTGATAGAGTTTTGCCTATGTCTGGTAGCGGTCTAAGTTGTGTTCACACTATTTTGTTATTTTGCATATGATTATATTATTGCACTCTCTTTAACTTATTTGGTGTATTTTAAGATATTATTATTACTTCTCTTGCTTCTTTTGTTGTTACAGATCTCTTCTTTCGTTTCTTTTCTGAAATTATTATCTCTTCTGTTGAGCCGAGGGTCTCCCGAAAACAACCTCTCTACCCTTCTGGGGTAGGGGTAAGGCTGCGTACATCCTACCCTCCCCAGACCCAACTAGTGGGATTTTACTGGGTATGTTGTTGTTGTTGTTGTGTTAAAGTTAACTTGTAATTTTATTATTACTAAAGCAAATATTGTATACAAGATTGGAAAAGTGTAACGACCAGACCGGTAGTTGAATTTTTGATATCAGGGTCAGAATCCAATTTTGGAATTTGAAGTAGGTCCGTAGTGTTGAGTATGACTTGTGTGCAAAATTTGGGGTTAATGGGACGTGTTTGGTTGGTTTCGGTATCGGTTGTAGAATTTTGAAGATTCAAGTTCTTATAGTTTGGATTCGAGGATGATTCGTGGTTTTAGCGTTATTTGATGTGATTTGAGGGCGCGACTATGTTTTTATGGTGTTTAAGGATTGATTGGTATGTTTGGTTGAGGTCCTGGGGGCCTTGGGTGTGTTTCAGATCCTCAACAGGTCATTTTTGGACATAGAAGGATATCAGATTTTTGCTGGTTTTTGTTGCAGAGATTTGTTCTTCGCATTCGCAAAGAGAAGCCCGCGTTCGCGGAGAAGAGTTTGGTCAAAAGAAGAAAATGCTATTCGCATTCGCGAATAAGGGGACACGTTCGCGAAGTTTGGACTTCAGTGTATCGCGAACACGTGAATGGCATCATGTTCGCGTAGAGAAAATGGAACAATTGGGACCTCAGGAATTTGCTCTTCGCGTTCGCTAATAAGGGGTCACGTTCGCGAAGGTTCTGGCAGCTGAAGCTACGCGTTCGCAAGAGGGAACCCGCGTTCGCGAAAGAGGAAAAATTGAGCTGTGGACTTTTGTTCTACGCAAACGCGAGGTGGTGGTCGCGTTCGTGAAGAAGGGCGTACTGGGCAGATTTAAAGTTCATAACACCAAATTTGATTGAGAGCACGGTAGAAGGCAGAATTTGGAGATATTTTCAAAGGAAGTTATTGGGTAATGATACCTAACTCCTTTATGATTATATCCCATTAATCTATGCTTTGATTTCATCATTTAATTTCGAATTTGGGGTGAAAATTGAGAAAAGTTCATAGGCCGAATTTTTGGATTTTGATTAAAATTTTGGTATCGAATTTGAGTGAATTTGGTATGGTTAGACTCGTGAGTGAATGTGTGTTCATTATTTGTGACTTTTACCCAATTCCGAGACGTGAGCCTGCGGAGGCTTTTTGGGCGTTTTTCTATTTTCTTACCTTAGCTTTGATTTTATTAGCTAAATTAGTTACTTGTAGTTATATTTACGTTATGTAATTGATTCGGCTAGATTTGGGCCATCCGAAGCCGGATATTCACGAAAAGAGCTTTGTTTCGGATTGAATTGAGCTTGGTTCGAGGTAAGTGGCTTGCCTAACCTTGTGAGGGGGAACTACCCTTAGGATTTTGGTACCGTTTGATATATGAGCACCGTGTACGTGAGGTGACGAGTACGTACACGGGCTTTTTGTTGCAAAAACTCTGTTTTTCACTATGTCATAACATGTTTACTTCTTGTTTGAACTACAATAGCATATGTAACTACCTTGTTTAGATTAGAAAAGCATGCCTACGTGTTTTAAATCACTATTTGAACTCTGTGCAGTATTTTTAGTGAAATTACTTGTTTTCTTTGATGTGAACTTAGCCTAAACTGTAGGTCTCCTTGCTGTAACTGTTGTTTATATTGATTGAGCAGCATATTTACTTTGGGACTACGGAACGGTATTCCCGGAGATCCCCCTGTACTGCATATTTACTTTGGGACTATGAAACGGTATTTCGGGAGATCCCCCAGCACTACATATTTACTTTGGGACTACGGAATGGTATTCCGGGAGATCCCCCTACACATTTACGTTTGGGACTACGGGACGGTATCCCGGGAGATCCCTTGTTGCTATAAATCCCTTGTTGCTATAACTGTGTTCTGAGCTATTGGATTTCATTGAATTTTTTTCCTGTTAGATTTTCGTACTTATTTTACTGTAGCATTTTCTTTTAGTCTTATTTCATTATATTTATACCAGTATGGCCCTGACCTGATCTCTTCTCTACTCGACCGAAATTAGGCTTTACTGGGTACAGTTTTGGTGTACTCATGCCCTTTCTTGCACATGTTTTCCGTGTGCAGTCCCAGGTACTAGCTATCAGCCTCTGGTCTAGTTGCGTGGTTGCTACTTCAAGAGACTTCAAGGTACATCTGTCGCGTCCGCAAATCTCAGTGTCCCCTTCTATCCCCTTGTATTGATTTTTCCCTTATTTTCTTCAGACATAAATGCATAGAGTAGTTAGAAACTCTTAGAAGCTTGTGGCGTTGCGACATTCCAGGTTTTTGGGAAAGTGATTATTGTTTATGCCAAGCGGCATCATTTCTACTTATTAACTATATTCATTAGTTATTATCATTGTGTTTCTTTTTCATTTCTGCAATATTAGGCGTACCTAGTCGTAGAGACTAGGTGTCGTCACGACAGTTCACGGAGGGAGATTTTGGGTCCTGACAAGTTAGTATCAGAGCTCTAGGTTCATAGGAGTCGTAAGTCACAAGCAGGTTTATTAGAGTCTCGTGGATCGGTACGGAGACGTCTGTACTTATCCTCGGGAGGCTATAGAACTGTTAGGAAAATTCATTCTCATTGATTCCTTGTCGTGCTGAGATTATTGACTTCAAAATTCTAAACTTATGTCTTCTATTCTCTCACAGATGGTGAGGACACGTGCTACCGGAGATGACCAGGCACCCGCGCCCCCTGCTAGAGCTGCCATAGGCCGGGGCTAGGGTAGAGGCCAAGGACGCGTATGTGGTGCATCCAGAGCACCCGTGCGAGCTGCTGTAGAGGAGCCACCAGTAGCTCTAGTCGGAGCATATGCACCTGATACGCCTACTACTACTACTCCAGCTCTCTAGGAGGTCGTTGCCTAGTTCATGAGTATGTACAGCACTCTAGCTCAAGCAAGGTTGATTCTCATTGCTGCAGCCACATCTCAGGCCGGGGAGGAGTACAGACTCCCGCTGCCCACACTCCAAAGCAGCAGGTTCAGGTTGATCAGATCCCAGAGGTTATACCAGTACCACCTGCAGCCCCAGTTCAGCCCGAGGGTAGGGCAGCAGATTCAGAGGTGGAGCAGCGGAAGCTTGAGAGGTACAAGAAGTACGACCCTTCTAGATTCAGTGGTCTAGCATCAGAGGATGCTCAGGGATTTCTAGAGGAGTGCCACCGTATTCTTCTCACTATGGGCATAGCAAAGTCGGGTGGGGTTTCTTTAACTGCCTTTCAGCTCTGAAGAGTAGCTTATGAGTAGTGGCATACATATGAGTTGAACAGTCTGGCTGAGGTAGCTTCACTTACATGGACTCAGTTCTCGGACATGTTTTTGAGAGAGTATGTCCCTCAGAGCCTCAGGGATACATGGCACGGAGTTTGAGCAGCTGCCCCAGGGTACTATGACTGTTTCAGAGTATGCCATTCGTTTCAGTGA